TGAGAGCTGTGTGTAGATCACCACTATTTTATGACATTATTTAAATATAATTGGTGACTGTATGTAAGTGTGGTTAAATAGGAGCACTCTTCTGTTCCTCTAGGACACTGTTTAAAGGAAGGAATTATACTGCTTTCAACATAGTGCTTATGATACCGAGTTTAATATAAAAGTTGGAAATGAATGTTGATGTGAGGTTTGTTGCTTCTTAAGGCTTTTGCCAAGCTGAAATATTTTCTTTGTGAAAAAGTTTACAATGAAGCAAAATATATGATTGAGTATTATATTGGAAATTATTTTATCACATAATAATTATCAAGCAAGAAAATCATTTGGTTAAGGCTGATTGTCAAATAACTTACTACAGTAAAAGTAGGTCAGGTATATCTCCCCAGGTATATCAGCTTTCTGCAATCTCATGTCCCCTTAATGTGTTGGGATAGCAACTCCCAAATTTCCAACTATACAAGGAAATCTGGAAATTGAGTCCAGTATGGGAAAATGCTTTTCCCTTCTTATGTTATGAAAAATACATTAATGCTTCTCCTTCCTTCCTTCCTTCCTTCCTTCCTTCCCTCTGTCCCTCTATCCCTCCTTCCTTCTTTTCATCATAAGAGCTCACATATCCAGTTTTTTCAACTGCACATAAACAATAATCTATTCCTCATTTCCTCCATCTCTCCCCCTATCCTATCCCATTTCTTGTTATAATTAATAATAACAAGAAGTTATCCCTTTCCCCCACTTCCCCCTCCCCCCTGGCCACCTCTTTTCTGGTTCACTGACCAGCACTGTGAAAACACTACTCATCTTGATGTTTTTTTGAAAAATTAAGGTAGAAGATAGAAGGGAAGAAAGGTTTGGTAATTTATTTATTTTTTCTCCAGGTCAACTTCTTTTGCAGTTCAAGGAGAAGCAAAGAGAGCATCTACAAATAAGATTCACATTTTAAAGTATCAAATTGAACAGATTTTTTTTCTATTTTGAAATATATAATGTACAAATATTGTTTTTATTTTATCATAGCTACATTGTGTAATACAATATTTCTCATTTGGGATGTTTTCTGTGGCACCAGATGAATATCATAGTCCTGGTGGTCTTAAATTCCTTCCTTTCAATCCAACTGCTAATGACTGCAGTAGATAAAAACTTAAGCCTCAGACCTGGATTCATGCTGCTAAGCAAATTTGTGCACACCTCTTCTTTCTGATGTATCTTTCATAGATGGAGATTTATTTTGAAAATATTTGAGATCAACAAGTTCTGACCTGCACTGGCAATTTTGAACAACAAAAATTAATCAGCTCCTTTTACATCTTGGTTTTTAAGGATTCTCTTGCTCCATTTGTCTTTGTTTCCCAAATGAGAACCCAATTTTGTTTGCTAAATTGGAGAGGAGAGTGAACAATAGTGAGGAAAGCAGCATTTCTGTCTTCATTCTTTGCTGTTGAATTGATAATGGGAATGTTGAATCAAACCACTAATCAAGAGTCTCTACAGTAGAATTAGACAAGATTATTAATGTTTTAAGAAAAGAGAAAAGAACAAACAAAAAGGAATAGCTTGCATAGTTATTGCTCAGTATATTACTGATGATAAATTAATCATAAAAATAGATTATTGTTAACAATAAGGTAAATGATTTTTTAAAAAAATAATCTCTGAGTTTATTGCCAGTTTCCACTATTTTGTTATTAAAAGATACCATAAAAAGAGAAAGAAAAAAAACTACTAAAACTTGCTGTCTTCTAAAATCATTTTTTTTTAAAAAAATTGATTTATATGCCGCCCTTCTCCGGAGACTCAGGGCGGCTTACAGTGCGTTAAGCAATAGCCTTCATACTTTTGTATATTTTATACAAAGTCAGCTTATTGCCCCCACAAACTGGGTCCTCAATTTACCTACCTTAGAAAGGATGGAAGGCTGAGTCAACCTTGAGCCTGGCAAGATTCGAACTTACAGTAATTGCAGACAGCTGGTGTTAAATTACAGTGCCTTGTCTGCAGAGCTGTCCAGGCTCATTGGACACCCACTTCTGTAATCCTTTGTCACTGACCATATTAGTTGAGGTTGCAGGGAGAAGAAAGACCTTCACTTCCCACCATCAAGCAGGAGGTTATTTCAAAGAATCAGACAGGCTTCTGTCTTATTTTCAAACATAAGGATTTCTATGGAGTCCAGAACTGATTGGTGAGGATGGCAGTTGTTTAGTTCAACAATTGAGCCATGCAGGAAAGGAGTTACTGATTCAGGAAAGGAAGTGTGTGATGCCAAATCAAAACGACAAAGCAGCTAGAATTGCAGTTTGTGGCTCCACAATGAGTAAGATGATTCCCTAGAATGGATTCCAATTGATGTTTAAGTATCCTGTGCTAGGAATTCAGCCCCTCAAAATGTTTCAGAAATATTTAAAATATTTAAATTATTATTATTTGTTAAAGCACCTTCCTTATTTTTATTGATTTTTTTCAGTCCAACATGGTCTATTAGAGACATGATATTTTTGCATCTTAGTTCTCGTTCCTCCCACATAGTGAAGTCTAAGCTGAGAAAGGAAGGAAAGAGAGATGCCAGGAGAACAGTCCAACTGTATCAACATCCTCCTGGCAGTGAAATTAATACCAGGCTCCTTTCCCTTGAGACTTGTTCCTGGTTGTGTTGCAAGCAGTTCCTTCAATGTGTGTGCTGCTGGCAGCAGATGGTTACTTCACTCAATAGAAGCAGGCTGTGGATAAATGAGGCAGATAGCCATACACCAATGAGGCTCCAGTTAATGGTGTTCCCATCCAAACAAATGTTTTCATGACTGGTGGATTCGTCTGTGGTCTCTGCTGATACATAACAAGTTTTTGAACATGGTCTGACATATTACTGTGTTACAGAGGAAAACACAGAGGAGACAATTGTCCCAAAAGATCAAAATTGTTGTGATGGTTGAAAACCAGAAGAATTTCGACTGAGTACTAGCACTGATGATATTACCTAGTTTGGGTAATGAAATATTTTCAAGAAAACAACCAAGTTCAGAGAGCACCAAGGAGCTTAGTTGTTTCAACCCTGAGCTACAGATATTCTCCTTTACTGGCATTTCAGTTGACATCTATCACAGCTGTAGTAACTGTGGTGAGGACATAAAATAAAGAAAAGTGTGAGTGCCATATGTAGATTCTGTTTATTTTCTCTATAAAATTGTTCTTTTGTTCTCAGTAGCAGTTTTTTTCTGGACTTTACTCAGCAGGACCATAATTATGTGAATTTTAATAGTGAATAGTGAGGGGTTCCGGACTTTGCATACAGTACATACATGTAGTTGGAATAAATAACAGAAAATCTATGGTTCATTACAACCCCTTCTGCAGCCACATCTCACATAAGAGGTGCTCTTTTAAGAACAAGATGGAGGGACATTCTGGGTAAACATCCAAGCCAATCTCAAGTTTCTGATTGGTCTGTTTCCGAACTGAAATGAACCTGGAGAAGAGTAGAAATAACCAATTTTATATAGGAAAATGACACTTGAAATAGTTTCCCTTTGCTTTACAGATTTGGAGAGTTTCTAGTCTGCAAATGAATAATAACTTCCAACCTCCTTCATCTCTAGGGTTATTGAGAATTAAATTTAGCAATACCCACAGAGTTATCCTGATGTATGATATACTTCTAGAATGAACCATCATAAACCAAACAGTTGAGTAATTTTCCTTTTCAAATTAGAAATAATATAACTAACTGGGCCTTTAGAGCCGAGTTGGCGCAGTGGTTAGAATGCAGCACTGCAGGCTACTTCAGCTGACCGCTAGCTGCAATTCGGCAGTTCAAATCTCACTGGCTCAAGGTTGACTTAGCCTTCTACCCAGGGGTGAAATGCTACCGGTTTGCTCCGTTCGGGCAAACCAGTAGCGGTGGCACGGTGTGGTTTGGTGAATCAGTAGTGGCGGCAGTGTGAGGTTCCGCCCACCCGCCCTGTCCTGTTTTTGACCCTCTGTGCATGCGCAGAAGGCTTTGTGCATGCACAGAGGGTCCAAAATTGGACGTGAAGTGCAGCACGTGCACTTCTGAACCAGTAGGGAAGGTAAATAGATTTCACCCCTGCTTCCATCCTTCTGAGGTTGGTAAAATGAGGAGCCAGATTGTTGGGGGCAATATGCTGACTCTGTAAACCAGTTAGAGAGGGCTGTAAAAGCATTATGAAGCAGTATATAAGTCTAAGTGCTATTTCTATTGCTATCACATCCAGGCCTTAGGAACAGACTTCTGCAAATTGCTCAGGATGTGATTAAAATATGCTTCTGGCCAGACACAGAATGGGTCAGAAAGTGCATTTAAGACTCAGATGTCAGCTTGTCCACAGTCTTGCCTGAAAAAAATTCTTTTTTTTCCCAGAGATATGAGACAATTAGAAACATAAATTCAATCGCCAAAATTGTGCATGAGTGCATGTTAGGATTCTATTGTTTTCTGTCAACAAGAAAATTGATTTTAAAAAAAGTTTTATTCTCCTCAGAGCCCATTGGAGTCACTGACACTCCACCCCTAGGAGTAGGATCGAATTTGCTTGCTTTGTATATTAAGACAAACCACTCCAATTTGAACTTTCCAAATTAATATGTGAAGTGAAATATAATTATGTGTGCATCCCAGAACATTTAGGAACATGCTGTATACAGTGGGGAAAATGTGCAAATATGTGTTCATATTTATTTGTGGACATTTAATCATTCCTCATTACAGTTGGGAAATAGCAGAGAAGGAATTTATATCTGGAAAAAAAAACATAATTAAAGCCAGTAAAACTGGCCCATTTATCCAACTCCATTTTTCTTTTAAAGATCAGTAATCTCTTGTCACTTATATGTGCAAAAACACCTGAGTCTCTTAAGGAACAGCATGACAATATATAGTCCAATTTGTTATCAGACAGATAAAGCAGCTGTAATTTCTTAACTTCTTAAATTACAAGAAGTATGTTTTTTGCCTATTTTAACTTTTGTGTCAGTTCTTCCAGAATCTTAAAAGAATGAATTCTCTCTGACTTGGCCCAGCAGAATGAAATGTGCTCCCAAATGATACAACCATAGATGTTGCCAGATACGGGATGAAGTCAGCCAGAGTGGAGAGGTCAGATCTAATATGCTTGGTGCTCTGTGAGTGTGGTGGTTTGGTTGCAGACGTGTCATTACCTGACTAGGTAACATCTGGTTGCATTTGCTAATGACAAGCTTTGCAAAAGAAAATTCCCTTTTCAGTACTTTCTCCTAAGAGGAATGAGGTTCTAATATAACGCCTGCCTTTGATATTAGTATTTGCACAAAACCTTCAAAAATGCAAAATGTCTTTCTAGTGGCTGCAAATAAAGTGTTGCAGGTTTCAAATGAACATCCCCAGCAGAAAGAATTGAATGTAATTGTTTCCCAAAATTTAGACATGCAAACACTATATATTAAAGGCAGTGGTGAAATCTAAAATTTGTTACTACCGTTTCTGTGGGCATGGCTTGGTGGGGGGGGGGGTAATGTGACTGAGTGGGTGTGGCCAATTTTTTTTTTACTTTTAAAACCATTTTTTTCTACAATCTCTTCGGCGAAGAGGTTGTAAAAAAAAATGCTTTCAAAAGGCTCTGACGATCCCAGCTGAGTTGCCTGATCGGCAGAGGCTTTTTTTCTTTTAAATGCCTCTGATGATCAGGCAACTCAGCTTGGATCGTCAGAGGCATTTAAAAGAAAAAAAGGCTTTTTTTTTCTTTTAAATGCCTCTGACGATCCAAGCTGAGTTGCCTGATTGGCAGAGACTTTTTTTCTTTTAAATGCCTCTGCCGATCAGGCAACTCAGTTTGGATCATCAGAGGCATTTAAAAGAAAAAAAGCCTTTTTTTCTTTTAAATGCCTCTGCCAATCAGGCAACTCAGCTTGGATTGTCAGAGGCATTTAAAGGAAACAAAGGATTTTTTTCTTTTAAAAACCTTTGACGATCCCAGCTGAGCTGCGCGATCATCAGAGGCTTTTTTTTTTTTACTTTTAAAAGCAGTTTTTCGGCCGAAGAGGTTGTAGAAAAAATGCTTTGAAAAGTAAAAAAAAAGCCTCTGATGATTGTGTGGCTCAGCTGGGCATGGGGGGAGGGAGGGATTTTTACTACCGGTTCTCCAAACTACCCGCCTCCATCGCTACCGGATCGGGTGATCTGGTCCAAACCAGGAGCATTTCACCCTGATTAAAGGAGGTTTGGGAATTATGAGTTCTACAGAATTATTTGCATGACATTACAAATATATAATAAAGTTGTTTCAACTCTGACAGGATTATATCACAAAATGGGGCAAAAATTCCAGAGTTTTCTTTCATGCATAATTACAGTTAATGAAATACAAATGTATATCATTTGAAGTCAAATTATTATTGTATCAGATCACAAGAGAGAAAGCAGGTCAATGGTTTTAGAAAATCATTTTTTTAAAAATTCAGCTTGGTTTGAATGCAGAAAAACATAGATATAATATGGAGACATAACAGCCATATAGCTTCTGATGTGTTAATGGGACCACAGCAGTGGTGGTATTCAACCGGTTCTATCCAGTTTTGGCGAACCGGTAGCGACAGCTGCAGGAGGCTCCACCCACCTGCCCGGACGTCATCATGTCCCGTTTTTGATGCTCTGCACATGCACGGAAGGCTCTGGGAGGCGTGCAAATGGGAAGTGCACACTCCCATTTGCGAACTGGTAGTGAAGGTAAGTGAATACCACCCCAGGACTACAGGGCTAAGAAAGTATTGGTTGAATGTTTCTGAGATGAAATCAGGTCAGCAGTGGAAATAATTGTAAGTATTGCTACCCCTTAGACCAAATTTTGTAATTCCCTCTCTCAGTTATCACTTTGCAGTAACTACAGCAAACTTAAAGTTCAAATAAGTTTCAACCTCTGAACCAATGATGCAATTTTTCTTATTTGCTAGATATTATATACTTACATTCTTTGTTCTCCTACACACAGAGAATTTACTAATGCAACTATTTACTCTTCAGAAATCATTTGTGATTCCTGATTCTGCTGTGGCAGTATATGCATCCATGCATTAGAGCAGCGGTCACCAACTGGTGGTCCGTGGACCACTGGTGGTCCGTGAGAAAATTTTGGTGGTCCACAGAAAAATTATTTGCTTTTTATATTGCACTACCGTGTTTCCCCAAAAATAAGATCCTGTCTTATAATTTTTGAACCCTGAAATAAGTACTTGGCCTTATTGCAATGAGGTCAAAAGCCCAATTGGGCTTATTATCAGGGGATGTCTTATTTGGGGAGAAACAGGGTAAAGCAGGGGCCCCTGGGCCAAATATCTGCAATGAACGCTTGTGTTACTGCAGGGAGTTTCCCCCTTTGGGGTCTTTTTGTGCGGGGCAGAAGGGGGCAGAAATTCCAACTTGGGGTCTGCTTCAGCCTCCTGGTGCGGGGCTTTGGGCAAAGGCTGGAGGGAAGTGCTGCTGGTGGCGAAGAGCCAGAGGGCCTTGTTCCAGTGGGACTGTATCATGGCCTGGAACTGGCTGACCATCTCAGCCCGCTGAGCCTCCAGGCATTAGTACCTGGCCTTGTACTCCCACAGGTCTTCCCTCTGCTTCTGCTGAGCCTCCTTCTTGGTCAGATCCAATTTGAACTGAGCCAGCTGTTTTGCCAACTCTTTCTCGTGGCTGCTTAGCTCCAACAACTGCTTCCTGTTGGGGCCCTAAGGAGCTCAGGCGGGCAGGTGAGGAGTGGCTGGGAGAGGAAGGGCAAGTAGAGGCCGGTGAGGCACCCCTCGACGTGAGTGACATCACTCACCTAACCTAGCCACGCCCTCCCAGCTGGTCATTAGGTAGATCATATTAGTGGTCCACAGGACTTAAAATTGTGACTCCTGCGTTAGAGCCCATTTTTGACATGCCACTTGATTTGTCACTGAGTTGTGGTGGCAAACTAAAACCTGATGTCTCTTTCCCACTGCTGTTATGCTTCTTATGTGCATTAGAACACAATTTAAGTTAGTCATATAGCTGGTCCTAAATAAGCATGGGCAGATAGATTGCAAAGTCCAGTTGATTTTCAGTCTGAATGAAATCAAATTATGAATTAAGGTCTACTGTGAGAGCAGAGCCTGATATTCAGACAGCTCTGAGTGACACTACTGCATTGCAAAAGCTTTTCCATTGCCTTCAGAGCACTGAGTAAGGAGGGTAGTGTGATGTGTAGGCATTCTTGCTTGTAACAGAGAGGATGAAGCTGGATGCAAGACTCTTAAGAAGTCTTCATAGAGCATACCATGTATAAGTCTAAGAAAGTATAAGTATAAGAAAAGTATAAGTATAAGAAAACCATTAGTTCAAATTTTGCTGATGTAGTAGTAACACAAATAGAAATATGTGATTTCCAAGGATAGAAAGGGAAAGTACTTAAAATTAATGTTCTCACAATATAGAAATGCTGGTATATATATATATATACACCAAGCAGGTGAAAGTTCTTCCTCTTTGTGCAAAAAGGAACTTGAAAATCGCTTGTGGCCTCGGGACCACAGATTGCCCACCTGCTTAAAAATATCATGTAGGTTTGACTAGTTCATGCTGTGAACAATCTTGAGTTCTGAACTACAATGGTAAAAGATAAAAAGAGAAACAAATGAGTCAATTTTGATTAACAACTAGATTACAAACTATTTTTCCAAAGAGCTACTTAAAAATGAATCAGCTCAGGCTGCATCCAGTACAGTGGGTGCCGTTCTTGTTAAACTAACAATGCTTGAGATTTTATTTGGAGTCTCATATACAAGAAAGGAAAACTAAAAGAAATTGAGTTATTTTTTGCACAGAGAAAATGTTGTGCTATGTCTGGAGCCAGAAGCCCAGAGTCAAAGTGTCAGTGGAAACATGACAAGATTTCAAGCACCAATTAAAAATGCTGTGGTTTTTTGTTTATTGTCAAAAAGCCCACCCTCTTTTCAAAAAACTAAACAGACTCCCGATCTATTAGTGGAAGAGATCAAAGCAGAAAAGCAGCAATTATGCTCAGCCTACTACTTAATTTGTCCCAGTTCAGAGTAACAAAAAATGAATAAAGATATTTATCCCTCGCTACAGGGTTTTAATTGTCACTAATCTAATTGCTACTCTGTCCGATTCTTGCTATATCTTTGCTCATTAAAATGTTGCTGCTTTACTGGTTTTTCTGCTTATTTCTAAGCAGCTTCTTTCTCAAGTTTTTCACATGTCTTAGATCAGAACTATAGTCAATTTATACACCCAAGGAAAATTTTACTTCTTTTCTTCTACCAACAAAGCAGTGTGGAGGGAAGAATGCTTCGTCTAAAATATTCAGTGGTAGAAGGTTTATTTTAAAAAGTGCTGCTTTGCTAGCATTCAAAGTAATCAAAATTAAATGGAACTAAATAAAAATATAAAGACAAAAACTCAGTAAAACTAGTAGCACTATTACTTATTTCATCCAAAACTGAAATGCTACTTATCCAGTGTCCAAACTTATTGTTTCCATCCTGACATCCCCAGATTTTCTAAAGTCTGCTGTATCACAATTTAAAAGTAAGGAATTATATTATTTTTCTGTTACAATTTCCATAAGATAAGTATATACAAAAACAAAGAGTTGTTGTTGAGGTTTTGTATGGAGTCATTATCCTTGTTTATATTAGGCATTAAGAGGTGTGCATGTGTGTGTATACTGTGTATATATATGATCAGGGGTGGGTTCTACTTATCTTTACCACTGGTTTGCAATGGGCTTTCGCACACACCTTGCTTCTGCGCATACGCAGATCACAGATGACGACATCCGGGGCGGTGGGCGGGATTTCCCGCTGGTTTTACTACCTGTTCTTGCGAACCAGTCTGAACTGGGGGCAACTCACCACTGATACACACACACACTATAAACGAGAGTTCTCAATTTTGTTCACTTAAGATTTCAGAAATATTCTAATTCTGCTACACATTTGTGCAACGTCAATGATGGGGGAGAATAAACTAACCATTAAACTTAAAACTGAATGAATTTTTCTACGAAGTAAAATACGTTTTTAATGATTAGGAAAAAATGATAATAGAAAAAGTGAGCTTTTTTGTAATCACAGAGCAAGATAATT